TCATACATGAGGCTAGGTAGAGAGGGGGCTGGGGGGTCATACATGAGGCTAGGTAGAGAACTCAGCATCAGCATCGTACGTAATACAAGAAGGCAATCTTCGTCATGGTCGGTCATGCTGAAAGGAGAGGTGGTTGGTTGGGGGAGAGACATGCATGATTTCATGTAGAGAGGGGGCTGGTTGGTTGGGGGAGAGACATATGATATCACGTAGAGAAGGGGCTGGTTGGTTGGGGGAGGGGCATGCATGATTTCACATAGAGAGGGGCTGGGTGGGTGCATGATTTCAAGTAGAGAGGGGCTGGTTGGTTGGGGGAGGGCATGCATGATTTCACGTAGAGAGGGGCTGGTTGGTTGGGGGAGGAGCATGCATGATTTCACGTAGAGAGGGGCTGGGTGGTTGGGGAGAGGCATGCATGATTTCACGTAGAGAGGGCTGGGTGGTTGGGGAGAGGCATGCATGATTTCACGTAGAGAAGGGGCTGGGTGGTTGGGGGAGAGGCATGCATGATTTCACGTAGAGAGGGGGCTGGTTGGTTGGGGGAGAGGCATGCATGATTTCACGTAGAGAAGGGGCTGGGTTCATATACTTAATGCAGGAAGTAGTCCAGTCAATATATGGAAATTTTTGGCCTACCTGGAACAAATTGCAACAGAAGGTTTTATTGTTGGAAGTTGTTGATTGGACCCTCCTAAACTTCATATGCAAAACGGCCAAAATCGAACCACGGGAAAATTCGGACATCAAAGTCCAAAGGGCATCCTTAGATAAGGAAGTCAGCATTGTACACGTAATACAATAAGACGATGAGCTGCTGATCGGCCATGCAGGATGAGGGGAAGGTGCCATCAGCCGTATCCTATCATTCTCTCCTTCACCTACACCTCTGTCTGGTTTCAGTCACCTGTCTCGACGCGGGCGTGTCCAACTGCACCGAGGCTCTCATCTCGATCGAGGTAGGTGGCGCCATCTGCCAGGGTCTTGGAGCAGGTTGCAGCAATAGGAGGAAGATTCTGGGGAGTGAATTTTAGTGCAAAATGAAACGTTATCTCCCCCTAGAGTTATATCTACGTTATTCATAAATGCACAACTGACGGAATTTGCATTACCATTCCTTCTTTCTTGAAATTCTACACTATACATTGGAATCTGAGGCAGCAACGATCGTGCATCCGAATATTTTCGTTGCTGTTTCCGTAGCTTACCGGTTTTACGGGGTGGAGAGGCTAGCCCTGCACCAACCCTCCCTCCTTTATCTGGGCATGGGACCGGCAGGGTATTTTTAAAACTTTCTTTGTGGAGTTATACGCGTGCGTCTGCATTGCATCTGCGTTTTTACAGATTGACGGGGACAAACCAGAGAATCACCATCCGCAGCAGATGACGGATGATGGAGGTAGGCACATCATCGTAGCGATCACAGCCAGTGCATGTGTGTGCGTGCGTGCGTGCGTGTATGTGCGTGCGTGCGTGTATGTGCGTGTGTGTGTGCGTGTATGGGACAATTAATTGCAGACAATGTAGGGTTGAGTAAGACTACATTTATTTTACAATAAATCTATTCATTTAACCTGCTTTAACCTGCTAAATAAAGTTAACTACATGAACAAACTCTGGTTAAATAAATAGACTTATCATAAAATAATTGTACTCTTATATCAGAGGAGAATAAAAACAATTTTTGTTACATCTTTCGTATCTATATCTCGGATGATCTGTTGTTCTGACCCTCGCGTATTTTTCGTCTGCAGAATTCGTGGAGCTACTGCATGTACAGGTGTCAGAGCTGCTCACACGACTGAACGGTAACGCCCTCTATAGTCCAGGGGGACCATCGACAGAAACATCGTAAATACCTGTGACTGTCACATAATTGTCTGTGATGTCATAAGTTGCGCACCGACACTTCACTACAAAATGTTATGACATTCTAGACTTGTGATGTCATCACTACTTGGAATGTTTCTGACAATGGGCCCCTGCTGTATATAAATAAATATATTGACATCATCTTCTACCTGATATCGTTCACCGTGCTACTACATCGCGTGAAATGTCACGCCATATTGTACAACATAGAAATCGACCGGATTAATTACTCTGCCTAATTGCTTAACGGTGCCTGTAAGGACATGGTGACTCTATGTGCATCAATAAAAAGAAACTGTGTGACATATATCTGAGAAGTCTATTCCTCGTATAAAAAAAATCATTCTTATATGCTTGGTAATGTACACTGAATATAAATCAGAGATTTCCCTTATTTATTTAGAGTTCAGCGGACAAGGCGATGTCATCGACGCAAAACTGTATGCCTACGCCGTGGGAATATCGCAAAGGACGCACGTTGCCCACGCGCGCGTGTAGCGGCGCCCTCTGTGGTGATTCTCGCGTGCCGTGGGAGCTGCGCCGGTCCACAGGCGGAGCCACTTGTCAGCGTGCGTCTCTTGTGGCGACGGCTGAAGACGTTGGACGTAAAGTTGACAGTATTGAGATGTTGCGAGAATATCTCGTGACGTGGCGTGGCGAGCGAAGAGGAGAGTGTGCATTCCGACGACCAGCTGCCGGGCGCCATGGCAACCGACCTCACATTTCTTTGTTCGTCTTCGTTGTAACATTTATGCCATTGTACTGGCGGGGAGAGGAAGGCTTGCATTCAGGGTTTGCCCTGGCCAGGAGAGGAAGGCAGCCTTTATAGATGATTCCATGTCTCTCTGTTACGATACGAGGCTACCGGTACCGAGGAAATTTGGTTCGCATTAATTTTGAATTGAATGAATCGGCGAGATGGATTTGCAGTTTATTTAGGATTTGTGTTGATTTGTCCCTGTGAATACGTATCATCATAATATCTCAGATCTATTTTAAATGCATTTATGACCCCTCTGCGATGGATAGCATTATTATGTACATACCTTCACTAACATGAGTACATGTAGGTTTCTTATTACACAAGAGTAGGTTCCTTATTATCGTAACCCTTACAGTATTGTCCATGAGTGTGATTATGTTTTTACATTGACTCGGGGGGGGGGGGCATGTGCATGTTTATACTTGCGAAGAAAGTGAGAAATAGCAGTCGTAGAGAAAATCACGAGGATTCATAGTCATATACCACTGATAATGCACATTCTTATAATGTTATTTTTGTTCAGGTGTTATAGCAACAAATATAATTCCTTTTTTTTTGTACAGATAATGTTGCAAATAAACGGAGGATAATTCTGTCTCGTCTATCTGCTGAATAAACGAAGTCTTATTCTATAGTGTAATTAGTGAATGCTGGCTGATCTGTATCATGTATGTACGTGCAATAATATATCAAATTATAGTTATCGCTGGATTTTCACTGGTATAAATGATAGTTCACTGCAGTGGTGGTGTCATTTTGCTTACACATACATATCGCATTATAGTATAATAATTACATATGCATATAATATATAAATATAAGCATTATTATTTGCTCGTATTTAGTTATAAGAATTTATGCTCGATAGATGGCGCAATGTACCCTATTTTCGGCTGCTCCCGAGCGTTCGCGAGCATCTGATTATAGAGCATCCGATACAGTAGGCACTCACACATGTTGGATGCGGTACGCGTGTTCTATGTTGACGTTTTACTTATACTCATTTCATTGGAATTACGTTATTTACTGTACTGCTGTATGTACAGATTGCTGGGTTGATTGCTTATATTAGTGTGGGATCTTACGCGACGTTAATCTCTTACGGGATCTATCGCTTTCCTTTATAATACAGTCGTACCTCAGTTCGTTGATGGAGAACACAACATACCAGCCTAGGTTAATTTTCGCTCAGGGATTTTCCTCCCCCCCCCCAAGCCGTAATCAATAACATTAGCAACTAGTCACGATGGAGGATGAGAAACAATCCCACAAGTCGCACCGGGGCCGCAGCGCCGGCGGGAAGGTCGAGAAGAAGAAGCAGAAGAACTTTAAGAGACAGCAGCAGCTTCCTCCGGGCGCGACGGAGGATGATGCCTCGCGGCAGCAGAGGAACCCGAAGGCGTTCGCCGTGCAGGCAGCCGACAAGCTGGCGAAGCGGTTTCGCAGGTAAATCCAGAATCCGAATCCAGGCCCCCAGTAGTCGTACGTGGGGTTGTGCTGTCGTTAACATAGATCTTAAAACGTGGTTCATAAGTCCTCGTAGATTGGTCCTCTACAAGCTGGCAGAGCGGTTCCGCAGGTGCGTTGCTGTGCACACACGAATCCAGGCCCTAGTAGTCGTGCATTTGTGCTGTCAACCTGTCATTAACATAAGTCTTAACATGGTCCTATAACTTGTATAATCCCGTAGACCGGACATCTAAATGCCCTGCATTTGACGAACTGGTAACTTGACCACGTTTCGGTTCAAGGATAGAGAACATGGGTCCCAATAAAACCAATGTCATTTACATCAATATAAATATAATATTATATCAATATAATAGGTTAGGGTTATGGTTTCGGTTAGGGTTAGGGTTAGGGTTAGAATTAGGGTTAGGGTTAGGCACATTGGTTTTATTGGGACCCATGTTCTCTATCCTTGGGCCCACGTTTCTGTCAATGGTCTACGGGAAACGGTCAAAGCCCATTCTCACATGTCTGTGATTAAAGTTGGGTGAGAGACAGGGTCAGGCAATGATCCATACTGTACTGGGGAGGGGGGGACGTAATACCATACTAGGTAGTACATACGAGGGTGGGACCAGGGTAACAAATACACGGTAGTGATGAGCGATGAGCGATTCGCTCTTCAAACCTCTGAAATCGTTCCCGTGAGGCTCAAAATAGCTCCCGTACAATTTTTGACGAGAGCTATTTTTTCCACAGACTTTTGAAAAAGAGCTCCCGTGAAAAAAAAAGTTATTTTTTCCCTGGGTGGGACTCATAGTATGTATGCGGTAGGATAAAGGATCGTAGATCGTATCTCTAGATCAAGTAGTGCAGAGGAGGTGGAGACGTGATAGTCGTTGACGTTTTGCAGGACGCAGGACATCAAGTCGAAGAAGATGCACATTCCTGTGATGGATCGCACGCCCGTCGAACCACCGCCGTTTGTCGTCGCCGTCGTCGGTCCGCCCAAGGTCAGCAACAAGGTCGCACGACGAGGGAGGCGGAGAAGCCTGGGGAATAGAGGGGGCGTAGTTGTGGGCTTCCCCTATCTCTCGCTCTCTCTCTCTCTCTCTCTCTCTCTTTCTCTTTCTCACACACACTCGCTTTCCCATTCTCTCCCTCTCTCTCTTTCTCTTTTTCTCTCTCTCTCTCTCTTTCTCGCTCTTTCTCTTTTTCTCTCTCTTTCTCTTGCTCTCTCTCTCACGCTCGCTCTCCCATTCTCACCCTTCCTCTCTCTCTCTCTCTCTCTCTCTCTATCTCTCTTCCACGCACATGTGCGCGTATGCACGTGGTTACAAAACCTATTTTTTATTTCATGGTCGAAAAATCTACGCTGCGTTTGGATTGTGGCAAAAATGACCAAAAATTTTATTTCTTTTTTTCAAGGTCGGCAAGTCAACGCTGATGCAGTGTCTGATAAAGAATTACACGCGACAGACGCTCTCCAGCATCCGAGGACCCGTGACAATAGTGTCAGGTATGCAGAGCGTGGACCGGCGTTCGCGAATCACTCGTTTGCGACATCGATCGTAAATTGAGACCCTATCGATTTGGTTCGCTATCGTTGCGAATTGCCATTCGTAGATTTTGTTTATGAGTGAATGATCGAAGGGGGCAGAGAAAAAAATAATATTTATTTTTTGGGGGCTACTTTTCAAGCTCGCGTGCATGAAAATAGCACTCTAAAATTTGGTTTGCATTGAACTCTATGCAAATTTCCGGGGGCTCTTTTTGGCATTTCTGGGGCTCTTTGGCATTTCGGGGGCTAAATCGCCCGAGACCTTGTGTATTTTTTTCACTGGAAGGAGGTCGCATCGGCGACATTCATTCTGTACGTCGAAAAACGGTTATTTAAGTTTTATCTAATCTCTGTCGTAAAATCATTACATCGTTATTTATCGTTTGATGCTTCTTCTTGTTTCTCGTCACCTCTTATTACGGGGCAAACTGCATGCAGCGCCCCCCTTCGCACACTCAGGATACCACTGCCACAATGCTAGCACTATTTTTAAAGTGGGCGGAGCTCGGGGGAAATCCAGCGAATGGAGATTCGTAAACAGCGTATGATTTGAAAGAGGGGCGCACAATTCGCGTACTATTTCGTATCACTATTTTATAAAAAATTTCATGAAATAACGGTCGGATTTTTAATATCTTTGCAACTTTTATTAGTCCAAATCTTATTACATAGGATACGAGTAACGTGGCTGCTGTAAAACTTGTAGTAAAAAAGCGTTACAAATTGTAACCAAAATCTGCTTGTGGCAGTGGTAGATTGAGCCCACGAGCGAGAGCGCCATCTGTCGTGGAGTTTGATTACGGGGTTGGCCTGGAGCATATTTTTTCGTCACCGTACACTTCTGCCTTCATCTTCTTCCTTCCTGACCACTGCTACATCTTTGTGTCTTCCTTTAACATTGTCGATGCAGCATTTGGGTGGTCTTCCTGCTACAGCCCCGATACTGCGTTAAGCGTCGGCGTAAAACTGACTCGTGAATCTTTTTGTTTTCTAGCCAAGAAGCAGCGTTTGACCTTCATCGAATGCAACAACGACATCAACGCCATGATCGACGTGGCCAAGATTGCGGACGTGGTATGTCCGTCTTTCCGCAGCGATTCTAGATCGTCGCTCGTGTTACGAGATGTTTGTTGCCGCCTGCATTACCTGTCGTGTTAGCTGTGCGTGATCGTGAAGTATCGTGGAAAACATTCAGTATCGTATCGTATCGTATCGTATCGGATTGTTACACCTGGTGCACAGCCTAACTGGTTGTATTTCACTGAATCTGTTTTATTTTTGCAGTTTGAGTTGCGTGCTGACCCGTGTCTTTGTGTTCCAGGTTCTGTTATTGGTGGATGCCAGCTTTGGATTTGAAATGGAGACGTTCGAGTTCCTCAACATTTGTCAGGTGCAATGCCGTTCCGAGTGTTCGTCCCTTATCGAAATATTTAGCCATTTTTCAAACTGGAAACACCTGACCCAACATACGGTATGGCAGATGTTGCACAAGTACCGCTGCTAGTAGTGAGAACACAATCGTTCGTTCAATCATCGGTGCCGTTGTTCATTTAATCTGTCTGTTAAAACCATTATTTCTAAAATAATTTCCAACCAGTCTCGTATTTTCCCCTCTTCTACGACACTTACCGTTAAGCTATTTCCCGGATGCGATACGTGAGTGTGTAAAAATCACGGCGCGAGAGATACGGTGTCTGACTCGGCGTGCGTGCGCGCGCGTTTCGCTTCGACAGGTTCACGGTTTCCCGCGCATCATGGGCGTGCTCACACACCTCGACCACTTCAAGAACAATAAGATGCTGCGAAGAACGAAGAAACGTCTGAAGCACCGCTTCTGGACCGAGATCTATCAGGTACGAGGTCAAGGTCGGGGTCAAGGTTAGGGTAATAGTGATGGTGAGAAACTACCTAGCAAGTAATGCACTTAACCGGTAGTACCTACTAGTAATAGTTAGCAACTTAGCAAGAGGTTAGGGCAGTAGTAACAGACTAACATTAGTGGGAATGGGGATAGTAATCGTACTGGTGATGGCAGTGGTGTTGTTAATAGTTAGCATGAGGATACTGGCAGTAGTAATGGTGATGGTGATGGTAATGGTGGTAGAAGTGGTATAATAATAGTTATATAATAACTAAAACAATTATAATAGTTGTTAGTAGTAATAGTTAGCATGAGGATAATGGTAATGGCTCGTGTTGCAGGGTGCCAAGTTGTTCTACCTGTCGGGGTTGGTGCACGACGAGTATCAGAAGACGGAGATTCACAATCTCGGACGCTTCATCTCCGTCATGAAGCTGAGGCCGCTACAGTGGCGCTCCACTCACCCCTACATGCTAGCTGACCGGTAAATAACCAACCTAGTTCAGGGTTTCTTCTAAGGGAAAATTAGACAAAGGAGGTAATGGCCAGGCGGGAAAAATGCGCACGATGGATTAAAAGGCGTGTCGTACCCCACGTCACATGACTCAATAAACGCACATGGCAATCTAAATATGCCAGAATAAGCATGTGGTGATCTATTTATTTTTGGGTTGACACTATTATGACAACAGAGGGTAAATACGGGAAAATTTTCACAACGGCGATGCTACAGTGGCGCTCCACTCACCCCTACATGCTAGCTGACCGGTAAATAACTTGCCCCTACATGCTAGCTGACCGGTAAATAACTCGCCCCTACATGCTAGCTGACCGGTAAATAACTTGCCCCTACATGCTCGCTGACCGGTAAGCAGTGACTCGCCCCTACATGCTAGCTGACCGGTAAGCTGAGCATAAGCACGAGGGTGACTGATGTGTGACTGACATGTTCACGCCTTACACGTCGTTATCACTGATGTATCGCGCGTTGACGCTGCAGGATGGAGGATCTGACGAGTCCGGAGCTGATACGCCAGCACGCGGCGTGCGACCGCGTCATCTCTCTGTACGGCTACCTGCGCGGCACTCAGCTCAAGGAAGGCAGCGACGTACACATAGCAGGTACGTGTACGTGTGTGCGTGTGCGTGCGCGTGCGCGTGCGTGTGTGTGTGTGTGTGTGTCTATCTCGATCAATCTCGCGCTCTCTCTCACGCTCTCTCTCTCTCTCTCTCTCTCTCTCTCTCTCTCTCTCTCTCAC